TATATGTTGTAGTTCAATTTTATCCTTGGTTCAAATTTTATTTTCCTTTGTTCTCGGTCATGTTAATGTATGATAATGAGTTTGAAACAAAGGAAAATAAAATTTGAACCAAGGATAACATTGAACTATAACATATACACTGTATAAATTGGCCAGCTGTTAACAACATAACTACAAGACAGGCTTATTATTTCAATTTTACTTTTTTGTATACAACCACACAGTGTGAGGACATTTCTCACATTTACTCATTATCTATCATGGATTATATATTAATAAGCTAAGTAACACATGCACTTTTGATTGCAGAAACTGCCATTCATTTCTTATAGTATTTTTCTTACCCTTTTCTCATGACATAACCATAAAATGAATTCAAGATACATTTGTGGGCCAGCTGAAGAGAATCATACAAAACCTCCTTGCTTTTACAACTGAAAAACAAATGAAAATAACTGATACTCTACCTATACAGTGTACCTGTATCACACTACCTAAACAACTTTACCCAATTAAGTTACAAATTATGTGATTGATGAAATAAACAACCCCACCAACCATTTGCTTTTTTTAAGAGAAGGCCAGTCCTGATTCTACAGCAATAACTATACTGTATTTTTAACAACTGACTCAAGACAGCTGGTTCACTAACTTAGAGCAGACTCCCTTGACACTGATGTCAACAGTGCCACCATACAAACAATTTATTCACAACATTTACACCTCAAATGAACCAAGTAGAATAACCTACCATCACCTACAGATTGAAAATGAGTAATTACAACCAATTTATGCCACTTGAGTTTTAAAGTCAATAATATCACCACTAAACTGAATCAGTTTAGATAGACCACTTTCATAAATGGCTGCCGGATTAATATTCTTTTGTTTACATTTAAATTAGCCCTACTGGCCTCATTCTCCAGTACAAAATTCAAAAGAATACACAATCTCAAGCGAGGCCAGTTGGCTAATTTAAATTTAAACAAAAGAATATTTATATGGCAGCCATTTATGAAAGTGGTCTATGAGCTGGACTTTGGAAACACAACAAACAACTATAGACTTGACTCAGAGGATGACTTCTGCTTAGGTTGTGCAAACTTCAGTCACTACTACCAAAAACAGTCCTTCCCAGGTGTTATAATGTTCGGGGTGCCCGTGAAGTCATTCAGGGGTCCCTAAGGGGATCCCCAAAGGTTTCAATATTACAACACCAGGACTACCCTCACCCAGACGATTAGTCTGCACAATCGCATGTTAATTACCTCTGCCCCAATATGAGTTCAAACCTTGATCTGTCTCCTAAACTTGTCTTAAAAATTTCCACTGTCTTCATTTCTGTTTGTCTGCAAAAATTGATGGTTTATTTATACCTTTTGATTTCTTCAGGATCACCACTTTGCATTGCAGCACCAAGTTTACGTTTCCAAGCCTTCGAAGAAAACAATGTTAAGTGTCCATGGTCAGAATCAGGGGGGAAAATTTTGTTCCAACTCATGTGATTCTTAGTTATTCTTTTCACACCCAGAGGTGACAAAAAAGTGAATTTCTCCTCACAAATCAATGCACTTTTTTTTATCAAAAGGAGATGAGAAGAAAGAAAACAATCAACTTGAAAATACTGATATCATTGGAACTAAAATCATGTCAGATGTATAGTCGACAGACAGTGCAGAAAATTTACATTTTGATATTAATTAAGAGTGTAAGGGTAAGAATAACACAAGCTGTGAACAACTCAAATCATTCATTGTGATCTGAAACGTTTTCATAAAAATGTGTCCTTTACATCAAGATTCCACTTCTTGTAATTGTAGCTTTGGGTCAGTATAACACTCCTGACACCATATGATGTACTAGACCACAAAACAGACAGATCACAACCAGAACAAACAGTTTATAATCAAAAAAATGAACAATAAAACTGACCCACAAATTCTGTGTTTAGTGTTCCAAAGCCTACTGGAATGTACCACACAACAATCACCACAACATGTATCACACAACAATCACCACCTCAATCCATACTTTATACTGTACAAGAGCATAAATACCAGAAAAGCATCAAACTCTTGTGATGAACTATTATGATCTCTCAGGGCTATTAATTTACCTTTAAAAGCCCTTTGAATTCATAACGCCTGTCACGGAAGGCTCGCACAGTGTCCACGTAAAATGAATTCTCCCGTTGGCAAATCATAGTGTTTCTGATTTCTTGCTTGCTTACACGCACTCTCTTGTAAGCTTTGTGACAGTAATCTGAAAGCAAACGTGGAACAAATTAGGAGAAAACAACTGACATTACATCTTCCATTAAATGAGAGCTTGCTAAAATTGATATACAGCTCTCTAACACTACAGCCAGCATCCCTGCTCAATCAAAATATAAAGGATCTTGCATATACTTAAGGCATTTGCCGGCCAAGTATTGCTTTTAAAAAAATGCTGCAAACTGGCTGTGGTCTAAAATGGCAATAGATTGAGGAGCAGGTCTTTAGCAGTTGTCGCTTCAACTGTCAACTGCTATTGTTTTTTAGCTAAGTGTTATTGAGGCCATAGAGACTCTTCTTTCACATTCGCCATGGGTTAAGGGAAGGGTCTAGGAGAGAACTACCATTTCAGCAAAACAGTGGCTGATACTTCACACATACCATGCACTGACAGTCCACCGATAAAAGCACAAATGTTACACCTCCTACAACAACTGCTACTTTACTTTAGCACTGCACATCTAACCTTGTAGTCTCTTTTTTTCCATCTGAGCTTGTTCAGCAAGGGTCAAAGAATGGAACGATCTGGTGGGATCACCTGGATTAACACCAGGAATCTTTTCTACTTCAAGCTGCTGTTTGATGGTTTGATATTCATTTCGAGTTGCTGGCACTGATAGGGAAAAAAATTCACATATAAGGAGTTAAAGAAATGAAGTGAATTCATTACAAAAGAAAATAGCCACTCAAGTAAGTGGATGCGGTTACAGTCAAAGGGCATATTCTCGTGCAAGCTACTACTTCCCATGGAAAAGCACAAGTAGTTTAAAATTGCCTTGCAGTCATCAATTATCTTCCTAAGAGGCACTTCATAAGATTTTTTGCACCATATAGGGTTGTAATTTGACTTAGATTGTGCAAAGACTTCTAACTATGTTCCTCATTATTTTAACCTTTTAAAAGAAATAACAAAGTCTTTGTTATTTCTTGGTTTAATTGTAGCCGCAAATCTGTCATGGACTTGGGGCTTCTGGTCAGTGCATGAAAGAATGTGAATATGTCAAAGATGGTCTGCATTGTAATATCCAAAAAATCTAGACTAGTTGAGGGGGAGAAGCCAGAACAGGTTGACCATGTAACACCCCCACTACACAAGGTTTGAGATCAGATTATGATAGCTTGATACCCAGAGATTATTGCTTCATTAATTGTAGGGATTGCGGGGTCAGTGAGTTGCTATTAAGGGCTGTCAAGTGCTCTTGGAAGTACCAATATTTAAGTGGTCTGGAACTTTCCAGCAATACATCTGCAACTCCTGAGCCAAATAAAGTACACTTTGGAAGTTAAGGGGGATGTATTTTTGGAAGTTACTGAACTTAATATGGGGTAATGTTTTTGCTAAGGAAACCAAGAAACACATGATTTTGTGAACTGTAGTTACAAATGCTGAAAAGTGTAAATGGCATAATGTTAGTTGCTCAAAAATACCTTTACCATTGATCTTGCCTTATATGCAAAGGCAGAAGAAGAGGTCGGGAATGTTATGATTTGTTTGGGGGATTACTTAATAATTTATAGTGTTGAATTATCTAACTGCAATGGCTAAGAAATTTCACAAAAGTGTTTAAGAAGATATGTTCAAAGAACCCAGTCTTTATGGCTTTTAATCAACAGTCATGCTGCTTGAAGGAAAGTCATTCATCCATAGAGTTAGAGCATAGAAGCTTTTGATGGAAGCTTTGCTGAAGTTGTAGTGGAAAGGTGAAGTTGAAGTGGAAAGCATTCTGTGCCTGGACCTCAAAGAAGAAGCAAGTTCTGATGCAATTAACATGAATTTCTGCACGTATAGGGAGGCATCAACCAGTGGAGAGAGGAAAGATACATATCTTTTGCTATGTAATACATTGAAAGACTTTTATCTCCTGTTCAGCAGATTTAAGATACAGAGTTTGCCATCACAATGCAAGTTTTGGGGATAGCTACATAAAAATGCTGCTGCTGCTTCTAAAGTTCTTCAGAGCAGAGCAAGAAAGACACTAGGAGATACATCTTGAGGCCACAGCTGAGATACATCCTCCTTATTACTCTAAAACAAATTACTCCTGTTGACTTCCAGTTTACATCATGGGCATGAGTCAACAGGAGGGTCTTTGGGCGGCAATCACCAGGCCAACTGGTCATTATCATTACTTTGCCTGTCAGTAGGAAAGTTGAAGAGTTCTGATAAGAACTCCTGATTGCAAGAAGTTTGTTGGTCAGTCTGGGAATTAATGAGCTCTAATAAGAACTCCTAATCCAAAGAGGTCTGTTGGTCAATCGGGGGAGTCAATGGGCTCCGATGAGAACACCCTATCACAAGAATTTAGCTGATTATAATCACGGAGTCAATGAGCTCTGATAAGAACTCCTAATCTCAAGTAGTTTGTTTGCTGATCAAGGAGTCAATGAGCTCTGATGAGAGCTCTTGATCCCAAGAAGTTTGTTGGTCAATCAAGCGAGTCAATGAGCTCTGTAAAGGGGTGCCGATTATAAGGAGTTTGTTTATTGAGCAAGGAGTCAATGATCGAGCTCTGATAAGAACTTCTGATCCCAAGAAGTTTGTTGGTCACTTGGGACAGTCAGTGAGCCTAATTGATAACAGCTTCCATGTGTAAAAAGTTGGTTGGTTGATCAGAGAGTCAATGAGCTCTGATAAGAACTCCTGATCACAAGAAGTTTGATGGTTGATCAGGGTGTCAATGAGCTCTGATTAGAACTTCTGACCACAAGAAGTATGTTGGTCAATTGGGGGAGTCAATGAGCTCTGATAAGTATTTCTGATCACAAGATGTTTGTTGGTTGATCAGGGAATCTCAGCTTTGATAAGAACTCATGATCACAAGAAGTTTTTTGGTCAATCTTGGAATCAATGAGCTCTAATAAGAACTCCTAATCCAAAGAGGTCAATTGGTCAATCAGGGAAGTCAATGGGCTCTTAATATGAGAACTCCCTATGACAAGAATTTAGTTGATTAAACTGATCACAGAGTCAATGAGCTCTGATAAGAACTCCTAATCTCAAGTAGTTTGTTGGTTGATCAGGGAGTCAATGAGCTCTGATAAGAACTTCTGATCCCAAGAAGTTTGTTGGTCACTTGGGAGAGTCAATGAGCCCTGATAAGAGTTTCCAATTGTAAAAAGTTGATTGATTGATCAGAGTCAATGAGCTCTGATAAGAGCTCCTGATCCATCAAGATTTGTTGATCTATCGGGGGAGTCAATAAGCTTTCATTGATAAGAGTTCCCTATTACAAGATTTTTGCTGGTTGACCAGGGAATCAATGAGCTCTGATAAGAACTCCTGATCACAAGAAGTTTGATGGTTGATCAGGGTGTCAATGAGCTCTGATTAGAACTTCTGACCACAAGAAGTATGTTGGTCAATTGGGGGAGTCAATGAGCTCTGATAAGTATTTCTGATCACAAGATGTTTGTTGGTTGATCAGGGAATCTCAGCTTTGATAAGAACTC